ACAAAAATGATCCGGGGGCTGGAGCACCTCTCCTATGAGGACAGGCTGAGGGGGTTGGGCTTGTTCAGCCTGGAGAAGAGAAGGCTGCGGGGAGACCTGATTGCGGCCTTTCAGTACCTAAAGGGGGCCTATAGGAAAGATGGGGAAAATCTTTTTAGTAGGGCCAGCTGTGACAAGACAAGGGGTAATGGTTTTAAACTGAAGCAGGGTAGGTTTAGACTAGATATAAGGAAGAAGTTCTTTACAATGAGGGTGGTGAAACACTGGAACAGGTTGCCCAGAGAGGTGGTGGAGGCCCCATCCCTGGAAACATTCCAGGCCAGGTTGGACGGGGCTCTGAGCAGCCTGATCTAGTTAGCGGTGTCCCTGCTCCTGCAGGGGGGTTGGACTAGATGACCTCTAGGGGTCCCTTCCAACCCAAAACATTCTATGATTCTATGATTCTATGTAGAAAATAGCCATAGAACCAAACCCTTTGGAAACTTGTGAATGACCATCATGCAAAGGAAGGTGGGTCCTTTGAATTAATTGACTCTCTGGTCCATCTTAGAGAATGCATATTGAGTTGGAACTTGCCTTTGCACAAAACGCACAACAGTCTAGCTAACCAGCTTTTTGAAAGGAAATTAATACAATGCCACTCCACAAAACATTTGGATACCTTCCTGCTCAGAGCTCTTTAAAATGTCACCTGTTTACTGTATGTATTTTGCCCTGTTAATAATGAAATAAATAATTTCATTTGCTGTATATCATATTTTGAATTTACACAGAAGGCAAATTAGAACCTTAGATGCAGAGATCCTCAGGAATGGCTCCAGCTCTTCCCACCTGTGCCCCTGGCTGAGGGCATTGCTGCACATTTGGGCTGAAGCCCTGCAGCTGTGGAACCAGGCCAGCTCTGACTTGCCATAAGGAACCTGGTACCAAACACCCATGATGCCATGTGTGCGAAGGCTTTGCTTCAGAGCAGAGACATGGCATGGACAAGAGAGAGCTGCATGTCTTTCTAGACCCAGGTGTAAAGACCCAGGGTGAGATGCCTAAATTAACTCAACGAAACACATCCTCCCAGATTGAGAACTTATATCTTTCCTTGTCAACTTTCTTCAGTCCAGTTTAACGATGGGACAAAGGAAAAGTTATTTTCATTTCCAATTATTTTTCTAAGAAGAATAATAACACTGCTGTAAAGAAGTGTCTCTGCCCAGCTGAGGGAGGGAACATCAGGGATGACTTCAGCCTGTGTCCCAGCAGGTTCTCCTGCAGCCCCAGGGACACCTGGAGGGAGCCTGGAGGGAGCCTGGAGGGAGCAGAGCAAGCGCTGCCTTGGGCTGGTCCTCTGCTGCTGAGCTGGGCTGGGCTCCTGGGATGGAGGGAGCTGATGGCAAGTGGGCAGTGCTGCCGAGAGACAGCTCTGCCCAGGAGCAGCTCCTCTGCAAAGCGCAGCAGGGCTGAGGGCACTGCCTGCAGGCACCGAGGGGGAAGGTGGGAAAGAAGTAAAAGTCAGTGTGGGGTGGGAGGATGCTGAGAGCTCACTGGGGCAGAGATCTTCACAGCCCTTTGCATGGTAAGTCTCTGGGTGAAAGACAATGTATCTCGTGCTCCTGGAGGGATCCCTTGAAGCTGGCACATCCCACAGCTGATAGGATCTGGCAGGATGATGCTCCCACTTTATTCATTGTGAAGGACAATGAGATCCTCCACAGGAACATTTCCTTCCACACCATCAGAGGGACTGGGCAAGACAGCTCCATTCACCCTGGATCGATTGTAGGTATGTGAAGGTGGGTGTGCAGGCAGGGGTGCCCAGGGCTGTCCTTCCCAGCAGGGTCCCTGCACCCCAGGGGACTGTGTGCTGGGGCAGGGACTCTGCCACCTGCCAGGGTCAGCACTCAGCCTGCCCAGGGAGCTCCCCAGGGTTCTGCAGGGAGAAGGTGTGGGTGGAAGGAGTGACCCCGATCAAGGCAGGGTCCTTCGGCTGTTGAGAGGGCACTCCATGGGTAACAGCTGCTCACAGCTCACCCCCAGGGCATTTCCAAAGGGACTTCTCAAGAGGGACATCAAGGCAGGGATTACCTGAAAGGGAAGGAATCTGTTCTTTCTCTCCTCTGCTCTTGGACTGATGGATGGAGAGTGTAAGACAGAAATTCATCTTTCACTTACGGAGAAGGTGCTGAAACTCCAATTCATTTTCACTTAGAGAGGAATGTCAAGACTCACTGGCTTGCAGGCAGCACCAGCATCTCATTTCCAGCATCATCAGGGCTGCTCTGACATCCTCATTGGTATCTGCACACACACAGAGATGTCCCGGGGCAGTGCCCTGCTGCCAGGAGGTGTCTGCAGGGCAGAGCTGAGCTCTCAGTGGGTGGGATGGGCTCTGTGAGCAGAGGCAGGGAGGAGACGTGGGGACAGAGAAAGAGCTCCGGGCAGGCACAGCTCTAGGCAGCAGAGGACAGGAAGGGAGTGAGAGGGAGTTGCTACCAGAAGACCCATCAGTGTCGATTCCTGCCCCTTAGCAATGCTCCCAGGCTCCTCTCCCACTGAGTGCAGCATCTGTCCTCAAGGCTGGGGCATCTCAGGCTGAGTTGCTCCCTTGGCAGCACAGCTTCCAAGAAGGAGAAGGACCTGGTGACTTGTCTGTCTCTCCCTGTTCTCCCTCGGCGGGAGCACTGGGGCATATCCCCTTTCACCTTCGCTGCCTCTGCTGCCCTTGTTCTTCCCCTCAAACTCTCTGCAGTTGGGGTTTTAGCTGCGGCTCAGGCAAAATTCCTGCCATGCAGCTGTCTCCATGGGATAAAATTCTTTAAGCCCATCGTGCCCTGTGGGGCTCTGGGAAATGAAAGGTGTGGGGCTGGGGAATGAGCCCATTCTGTCCCAGTCCTAATGGCCTTAGGACATCCAAATGCTTCCCCAGCATTATCATGCAGGAGGATGTGGAAAACCTCTTCTGTTACAGGTGGGTTATATCTGATCTATACAGTAACTACAGGAGCTGTTTATATTTAGAATAGTTTATTCTACTTTAAATACAAGAACTTGTCTCCCCCTTTCCCAGGGACCAATGCTGCAGGGCAGGGCTGACTCCTTGAGCTCCTCACAGCAGACTCAGGAAGCACAAACTGCAGCACCACCCAGGGCGATGAGCACAGATCCTGCCAGAAAGGAGAGAGGCAATTTGCATTTTGGTGTGTAGTGGGACAGGTGGGGCTTGCAGAAGGGTGTTTTTAGATCATGTGAACAGATTTTCTTAGAAAAAACTGTCCAAACTTGTCAGTGTGCTCTCCTCCTTCCAGAGTCACCCATGCCCAGAGGCAGCAGATGTCCAACAGCAGCTCCATCACCCAGTTCATC